GTAAGCTTGTTATGTATTCCTCGAATAACCCTCTGCTTACACTTTCATCTCCAATTGATCTGATGAGATTCAAAATGGGACATTAAAAAAAGTTATATAAGGACCTTATTCTTTATTATGTTTTTGGCTAACAAGAAATATTTGGTAAGCCACGAAGCATCCTATTCAGAGCAAGAAACTATTTACCTGAACTCTTGACTTTCTTCAATTTGTTGTTTGAAGTCGTCCCAATTTGAAGCTGCGTTTATTTCCTAAAACACGAATTAAGTTTATTGTCTGTCCTAGCGATTCCAGACAAAATAATAAATCACCATTGGTTACCTTGAAAGTGTGCAACAGATTGGTAAATTCTTCAGCCAGACGCTGAAGCTTTCTGGCCTCCTTTTCTTCTTTTTCCTTCACTCTCTCAAGCAAGTCATCATATACAAGCTGATAAACAAGGGGAAAAAATTTAGAGCCTATTCAACTGAAGTTTAAAAGAACATGTTCACACATCTTTGTTGTACTCAACACAATCTGTCAATCAGAACTTTATGGTCTGAGTATTAATCCACAATTATTTATGTAGAACTCATCAAAGATAAATCTAGAAGATATTCCAAAATAACCCTTTGAAGGTGTTGGATGGGTTAAAGCATGCCAGGAACAGCGATTTAAACTCCCTACAAATCGAAACAGATGTTTGAACCAGTGGCTAATATATTTCTTCTAATGTACGCAATATAACAGTTTCTGATTAATTTATCTGCTAACACCTGCTTCTTATCACAACTGAGCCGGTACCTTCAAATTTATGTCTGATATTGGTTGAGGACTGAGATCTTCTGAAACAGCAGATTTAAAATCTTCAAGCATCCACGAGGAGACCATGGAGACCTAGTAGAGAAAGGAAGGGATTAGAGAAAAGTTTGGTATATGTAAATAGCATAAATGCAAGCTATCCTTGACTTGCCTTCCGTAACTTCATAGCATCTTTTACGCGACTCTTATCCTCATGATACTGTCATTAAACACAAAAAACAAGGTTTAATTATCGCAACTATTAGATCCAGACAAAGCTAGAATAATCTACACATAGAGAACTACACTATATCTAGTCCAAGTTACCTGTTTCTCTAATTCTTCTGTGATATCTTCAAACAAGTCTTTTGGAGTTGAGCCAGATGTATTAGATGCAACAGCTTGGTATTGGGGCAAGTCTTTTAACTGTACATAAAACCACTGAGTGAAAGAATCCAACAGAAAATATTATTTGTCCAACAAAGAGATAAATTGGTCAGACACCTCAATGCAATAATCCCTCCAGTACGTCTTGGCAGTAAGGATGCCAGCAGCAACATGTTCTTCCAATAGTGTACGAAATGCATCACGGTTTTTTCTCTCAGCCCGCCTTACATGTTCCTAGTTCCACATGAAAATGAAAGCATGAGCATGGGGTTTAAAAAATACAAAATTGAGTACAACCCTGGAGATCGATCTTACTTTCTCTACCCTCCTCAGCTCTTCTTCTTCCTTCTCTAGGTCAAGAATGTATTCCTGGGATAACAACATTAGAAAACAATTCTAATATGGCAAGCTGACACAGATGAAGTTACTTACCTCAAAACCAATCAGACGATCTATCTTTTCAAGACATGAGCATCTTTCATCATCTTCCAATCTATCTTGAATTTTGCGCCATTGGGAACCAACCTTCAAACACGTATTATAAAAGGCATTATGGAAGGTCTATTAAACAAAAAAGTTTGCAGGAACTAGCTTTACAAACAATGATGTACTTTGATATAGTCACAAGTTTCAAGAAACTTCCGATATTCTGCCATATTTTGCCGATGTTCCTCCACTGCCTTTTCTCTTTCCTGCAGATTAAAGGACTCAGGATGTTAATTCACATAAAGAACCCCTTCAACAAACCAAAGCACAAAAACCATTCTCTATAGAAACTTCAAAATATGATCCTGCTGGTGCACCAGATCTTCTGTCCTCCCCAGTCTAAGTGCCCACCAAAATCATTAGTACGCCAAAATTATATGCCAAAGTAATCGTACCAGAAAAGACCCATTTCAACAATAATGACCAGCAAGAAAACATTCCCCTGACCAGCACCTATATGTTAACAGGTATGCCTTGTTTTGCATAGCAGAGGAAAGTATCTTACCGAACAAGTAAAGAGCTAATCCTACACATGAAAACGAAAACCCCAAAACGAAGCCAGATGATTACCTTCCTCCCAAGTTCCACAATGTAATTGTCAAATAGATCTTCACGATCCCTTGGACGTTCAACATCTTTAAAGCGCTCATCATTTTCAAACAAATTCATCGCTTTGCTGGTGAGGAAATAGTTTCCATTAGCACATATGTCAACCATACAATAAAGACAAGAACCAAATATCATATAATTAACTGACAGCCACACCTCCATTTCATGGATGACGAAAGTTCTTCACACTCCTGAGGAAAATATTATTATAACAAATAAGTCAGCTAATCAGCCATACGAATCAGACCGAACACCGAACTTCTGACTCCTTTAGTACATACCTCCAGCATCTTGACAAATTCTTCCCGAGCTTTCTTCTGTCTCCTTCGCCTTTCCTCAGCTTCAACTTTTTTTCTTTGACCAAGATACTGGTTCACAATATATTTGACAATCAGATGTAAACATAAAGCTAATCAAAATGGAAATCTACCAAGTAAGAGGATAATTTAAGACTGAAATGGTTTACAGTAGGAACATTAGAATGCATTTGCACGCATCCCTAAGAACCAAGAAACTGTATACCTCGTTAAAAGCTTGTTTCCGCTCACCGAGTGTCCTCAAAGCACCATATCTTTTGTCATTAACAATCTCTTTCGTTGCCTACCAGGAGATGAGAAGGTCAGCAATGAAGCTAGTAGATGGTCAGGGAGAGAATCCAGGCCATATATATTGATTCACCCATAAGCAATAACACAAATACTCTGCATATGCATCCAGATTACCTGTTCCCATGTCCAGTCGGAATGAACATTAACAGATTCCAAAAGAGACTTGAAAGCAGCTTTGGCCTCCTATAAACAATAACCAGTAGTGCAATGAATTGGCAAACAATTAGACTCACACAAGAAAACATAAGGCTACAGATATTAGGAAGAGAAAACTAGGATAAGAAAGCACCTGCTTAGTTGCATATACCATGGGCTCCTCACCAGCAGGTGTCAGATTGGCTTTTCCGTTCACCAGCATTTCCTTATTCTCAACCTAGCAACAAAATTCAAAATAGTTAGATAGCATAGTAAAGGAGTAGCAATTTGCCATGAAATTCATGACAACACCACATCATCACACGTGCGTCAAAGATTTAACATAAAAATTTTATCAACTAACTTGTACAAGTTATTCTTGACCTCTTTTCACATGAAACTAAAATAGAAAACAGGGAAATGGAATATTCAAGACTAGACTTCCATATTCTAGGAAAGTTACTATAAAAAAGGAGATGCAAAATCATGCCTTGTTGTTTTGTGCTGTAGCTCCATCATTTGAATGATCTGTCCCCTGAGACGGTAAATTATCCGCTTTCCTGGCAAGATAGCACAAAAACTAAATTCAAAGACATGATATAGAGTTAATAATTATCAAACAAAACTGACCAAGGAAAAATAATACATTGCAGTAGCCTCAGTATCACTAGTTGCAGCAGACGTTGGAGTAACAGGAGCAACAGGTACAGCCAAACCTGCTGGAATAGGGCTTGAAGACTGCCCAGGAAATGTTGAAGAAGTGCTGGGAACAACAGAGGTCACAACGGTGCTAGCCGCTAGATCAGATGAGGATGCAACAATATGGGACGGAGACTTAGATCCAGCTTCTGAGAGGGGCTTCTTTGCACTAGCTAGCTGAGCTTGTTCCCGAGCTAACTGCATAAAACAACTATGCAGGATTAATGTGGGCTTCGCATTGGAGAATATGTATGAGAGAGAAATAAATTAACGGACCTTCAAATCATCTGGAATTGTCCACTTAGACTCCTTTGTAACCTTGTTATAATAATATCTGCGTCAATTAAACCAACAAATTAGTTGCAAAAATGAGCATAAGCATGATACAAAAGACCAAATGAAATTTAAAGATACATACTTCCTTCCTTCAGCTGTTGTAAATTCCTTCCATACAGTTGATGCATCAGCCCTCTGTAGAACGAGATTATCAGAAGAAACCATAAAATCATGCATCAATGGAATATTTTTTGATCAATCAATCAATAAATCTGTTACCACAGAAACCCAAAATGCCGTAAAGAGGTAATGTGATAAAGAAAAACACTAAGATGTATGATCTCCTATATGCATAGAATTGGTAAATGAATATATATCAGCCACACCATAAGCAGTACCAATTTGAGTTCACGAAGCTTCAAGCAAGAAACCAACAGAACTTTATTAGGTCTATCAACCAACTAATTTTGAAAAACCGCAAACTAATCTAGCCGTTTGCCGTTTGCATTCTGATCTCATCCTTCTTGCCTATGATTTACAACGTAGTTAGAAAACAATTTGATGCAACAATCTGTCGTCTGTAATAGATCAGTAGAAAGAGAACAAAACTAACTACTCCAACAGCAAAGCAAACCTCTAAAAACCGTAGAACAATAGTATTTTTGACGTTCTATTCAAATGAAGAAAGCGAGGGCGGGGTCTAGAACAGATCTAATTAGCCATTTGTTCCTAACCTATAAAGCTGTCACCTAAGAATTTACACAAAAAAGAAATGAGAAACAGAGAAGCATCAGTACCAGTGTACCATTAAAGCCTGACTAAAAAGTGAAGACTTATCAAGTCTCACTGAAGAGGGGGGAAAAAAGAGATGCCAAAAAAGTAGGGTATCGGGACAAAAATCATCTTAGAAGACTGACTACTTTGTAACACTCACCTCAAGTGGTGTCATCAGTTCAAGAGGTTTTTCCCAACTTGACTGTTTAGTCCGCTTGTTATAATAATACCTAGAAAATATGAGAATCTGTCAGGTAAAGCGGAAATTAAACAATACACAGAATCTCCTAATAAGAAACAATCAAAATTTCGACTGGGAATTGCGTGAACAAAAATCTACAGTACAAAGAGTGACATGTGTGAAGATAATCAGCCTAAATCTGTAACAGTAGTTCAGTAATATACTCTCTCCCATCAGCAGATGTATGCTGCTGCCAATCAGATGCAGATTGCGGAGTCAGGCTTCCCTGTTATCCAACGAGCACAGTAAGAAGAAAAAAAAATTTATGAGTTAGGTGAATGGAGCTGCAAAGAAAATCTGCATAAGAGAGATAGTGCATACACAAAGACAAGGGACTGAGTTTGATAAGAGTTCATCAACAATGAGTCAATGACAAATCAACTAGTTACTAAATGAGCTAAATAGGAAAAGATTCTGATGTTTCAAGGTACTGAGTATTTTGTCGTTTGCTTGAGGCCTCTTGAGGCTTGGAAGATTTTATAGGTTTTCTAGAGCAGAAAACTAGGCCATTCTGATTTGGGAATTCTGGGGTCAGTGTCTGGTCTTCATCCTTAAGACATAAATAAAACAGTCCACGTTTTCAACTTAATCAGAGTTTGTGCTCGGTTAAGGTCCAGAGGATGTGTACGTGGAATTAATAAGTCTTAATACGTCAGAGTCTATATACTAAGCTTTTCTAATAATTTGAGGAACACTTAAGTCAAATACATATTATCTCAAAATAATATAGAGAAAAAGATTGAAATGCCATAAATGATAGAAGGCATATGGTCGTCACAATTTATATGATAATACGATTCACAGTTTAGTGAGAGATGGCTTCACAATTAATAGCAGATATAGACATCAGTATGAGTCATGAAAACACATTTGTGATCAGTTATCAAAGTTACTTACTTGATCTGTGGAAACTGCGACTGGTGTTTGTTGTCCAGTCTGCTCCACTGGAGAAACAAGTGTTGTACTTTGATTTACAGGAACAGCCCTAGAGTTTGCAGCAGGAGAGACACCGGCTGCATGCATCTGCGAAGTTGGTTGGACCAAGGGTGGTGGTTGTTGCTGACCATAAGATGATGGTACAAACTGCAGGAACAAGAATCCAGGACTGTGAAAAGGAATGATATATAAAAGGTCATCCAAAGAAGAAGAATAAGCAAAGCAGCAGACGCCTCACCGTATATGAGGAAGAAAACGGAGGACCAGGTGGAGCAAAGCCTGTCACTGTAGGTGCATTTGGCTGTGGTTGAGTAGATCCAGATGTGAGGATCTTGTTCGTTTGAATATATGGCACTGATACAGCCTGTGATGATGATGGAATATGCCCGGGCTGACCTGGTCTCACTGGAAAGAGCTGCTGTATCGGCTGAGAATACTGGGGAGCCCCTGGCATCCCAACATTTGGAGGTACATGTCCATAGGGATGATAAGGCTGTGAAGCTGTAGGGACAAAATGCTGAGCCTGTTGTTGCCCAGGAACCATCGGCCGAAACTGCTGAAAAAGGTCTCATAAGCACATCCAATAGATCACAGACAAGTGGGAACACATATGAAAAAAAAGCAAGGGGAGAGACTGACTAACTATCACGCTAAAACAAAACTCAGCAAATAGCACCAGAATATCAACCCATATAAATTTATACGAATTTCAGCTTCTTAGTTTCGTTAAAACCTTTCGATACATCAAAAAGCTTAGAAACCCGAAAATTATTGCATGTATGATTCTGACAGTAATGCACGATAACCATATCAATTGAGTTTGGCGATTTCGCACCTGGGCACCAGAGGACTGGGGAGGATTATTCGCCATTACCACAAAAGCAGCTGCCTCTCCAATTCGCGGCTTAATCTGAAGAGCAAAACACCCAAAGGTCGAGCTTAAGCTTTTAGCCTTTCAGAGCAAAAGTTCAAACTCTGCGAACAGAAGCTGGAGAG